AACCGAAAGCTGGCCACCCCCCCCCCCTTCTCCCCCCTCTGTTTCCACGGCAACCCTGTCAGGGTGGAGGAGAGAGCGAATCACGTGAGGCTCGAGCATCTCTCTCGCTCTCTCTAGTCTAGACTGATCGAGGCTGCGTTTGAGGGAGCTCATGCATCACATCAGAGCCGTCCTTCTCCTCTAAAGCAGGCGTTCATGCCAAAATGGGATGTGGAAATTCCTCCGCCACCAGCACGACAGCAGGAGGTGAGCGTGTTTAAGTCACTTACACGCACTGCTTTTTATCAAAGGACGTGTCAGCTTGTGGATTCGCGCTGTCCGAGGTTTGATTTAGCGCCGTTTGTCCTTAAACACTTGAATAAGCGCGTGTAGGAGCTTGATAAAGTCCCGTAGCCGCAGTCGACCTCGCGTAGGCTACTCGGTTTATTAGCAGAAGCTCCGCGGCGGACGGATGTGGAGGAATGTGGCGTTAGTCAGACACAGGTGAAGGATCTGACGCTTAATACATCAGTCATGGAGATTCCGTCCCTCACGACGTCTAATATGTATTCAGGTCAGATCTGTGCTTATAGACTTAATGAAGAGAGCGTGTGTGAGCGCGATGGAAAGAAAAATGAGACAAATCACAACTGAGATCGCTTTAGCAACTAAATTGTTTCTCATAGACGGCAGTGAGAGGCACTTTCGTTTCTCAAGGGAAGAAGGCTCCGATAATCTCAAATTTTCTTCACTAGAGGTGAATTCGACCAAGACACCAAAGAGTCAATGAAGTCAGAGGTCAGAGATCTTTGTTTCGCTTCATGTTACAGCTTTGTACTCTTATACTGTATATACATTTTAAAAGAATCAAGGTTCTTTTTTGGAATCTGTGGTTCCATGAGAGAACTTTTAACATCCATGGAACCTTTCCATTCCACAAAGGGTTCTTTATAGTGGAAAAGGGTTCTTTAGATTACTATAATGTTCTTCACATTAAGAAAAATGGTTCTTTTAGAACTGCTTACTGAAAGGTTCTTTGAGAAACCCAAAATGGTTCTTTTATGCTATTACTGCATATTAACGGGGTGGAACCAAAAATGTTCTTCATAGTGGAAAAATGTTCTTTAGATTGTTCAGTTGTTCTATACACTAAAAATAGGGTTCTTTTAAGAACTCTTCACTGAAGGGTTCTTTGAGGAACCCAAAATGGTTATTTTATGCTATTACTGCATATTAACGGGGTGGAACCAAAAATGTTCTTCATAGTGGAAAAATGTTCTTTAGATTGCTCAGTTGTTCTATACACTAAAAATAGGGTTCTTTTAAGAACTCTTCACTGAAAAGTTCTTTGAGGAACCCAAAATGGTTATTTTATGCTATTACTGCATATTAACGGGGTGGAACCAAAAATGTTCTTCATAGTGGAAAAAGGTTCTTTAGATTGTTCAATTGTTCTATACACTAAAAATAGAGTTCTTTTAAGAACTCTTCACTGAAAGGTTCTTTAAGGAACCCAAAATTCTTCTTTGCTGTGGAAACCGTGCTTTGGAATAATGTCAGTTGATTCATTTGTGACAGTTTTTATTTCTCCATTTCAGGAGAAACAATATACTTTACTGAGACATACCTGAGAACACCATGAGCTATAGAAGAGCAATATTTGAGCAGTAAATGTTACCTTCACAAGCCTGGACGTAGAAAATGGGATGCGAGAACAGCTGGAGATGATTCAGCCGTCACCTCTGAAGAAGCCAGCGAATGAATTTAAAATGTGCACAGAATTTAAAAAAGTGCATTCCATTTTATAATGCTTCATGGGTAATCTCATTGAAATGCAGAAGACTGGATACAATAAAAGAGCCAAACACAAAAATAGAATTAGCCTTGAGTGTCCTGAGAGAGAAAATGATGAATGATTGACAAGCAAGGCGTCAAAGTGGCGACAACCATCACTAAACTCCTAAACAGAGAGACTGGAGCCTCAAAAGGGAATTTATTGCTTAGACGATGCACTTCTAGAGCTCAGGAGATTTGCTGAAAGAGAAACAGAAATAGAAATAGTCATAAATGAGTTTATAACGAGTGTGGGTGAATCATTTGTTCTTGAAAGAATTTGATGAGAAATGTTTGAGTTCATAATGAGATCTTTTCATTGCAAATTAGCCAGATTACTGTTTGATTTTCTCAGGAGAAACATCTGAGAAACTCCTAGACAGAGAGATTTGAACCTCAAAAAGAATGTTTTATTGCTCAGATGAGAGCTCAGGAGACTTGCTGGAGATCTTAGCTATATTTTAAGTGTCAACTTCATGTTTCTCCTAACATAGAACATAGAAACAGTTATAAATGAGTCTATAAAATGAGTTTGGATAAAGCATTCGCATTTGGAAGATGTTTGGGTTCATCCTGAGATCTTTTGAATGCAGCAGAAACGTCTGAGAAACAGGAGAGTTAATCAAAAACTAATTGCATCTCATTACTATCCACAAAGTTCTTTCTACTTCTACTTCTTTATTAGCATCTATGCTTCCATGAAGAACCTTTGACATCCATGGAATCTTTGCTTTCCACGAAAGGTTCTTTTGATTTTTTAAATGTTCTAAGAACAAACTAAGAACAAATGGTTCATTTAAGAACTGTTATTTAAAGAACAGCAAAATGGTTCTTCTATGGCATCATTGCAAAAACCCACTTTTGGAATCTTCCTTTTTAAGAGTGTGGAACCAAAAAAGGAAAAATGTTCTTAAGAACCTCTGTTTGGGACAGTGAGAAGCTTGAGATATTGAAGATATCGAAGAGATCTCATTTGTGATCTTTCTTTCATGGACTGTCACGAACAACACAAGACTGTGTCCTGCCTCTGAGGAGTAACATGTCAAGATGGAAGGTTGCCTAGATACGTTTCTTGTCCCCGATAAAACTGACCTGCTTTTTTAGCTCGGTTTCTTGAGGACAAAAAACACTCAGAGAAAAGTCTTCAGTGAAAAGGTTTTCAGCGTTAGTCCAACATAGATGGACGTTTTGGTAAAATGACTGAATCCTCCAAAACAAAGAGTCTAAACACACTTAAATAAGTCAAAATCATCTGTCCATTCTGTCAAGTGATGGCTCTAGGCATTGAGACTTTAATAAAGACTGTGTGTGGTTTATGTCTTAAAGGGTGAATTAAGAGTCACTGCACAAATGAACGTTTGTAATTGAACCACACACTGAATAAAACTACTGGAAACACCCCTCTTGTGACCTCTAAAATCAATGCAGTCATAAAAAAAGTTGAATTTGATTCAATAAACATGTCTGAAGAGGCCAAATTCTACAATTTTTTCTTGCACTAAAAAGTATTTATATAAGTTTTTACATTTTTTAAATGTTCAATTATTATAGTACTATTAAACTAAAAAAGAAAACAATGTTACATTTTTAAATATTATTAATAATTTTATATATGTAAATATATGGATACATTTATATATATATATATATATATATATATATATGCAGGTGCATCTCAATAACAAAGATGTCAACAATTCTGTGTTTTTCTGTCAATATGGGGTGCTGTGTGTACATTAATGAGGAAAAAAAATTAACTTAAATGATTTTAGCAAATGGCTGCAATATAACAAAGAGTGAAAAATTTAAGGGGGTCTGAATACTTTCCGTACCCACTGTATATATAGTATTATTAAAATAATGTACCATATATACTGTGTATGTGTGTATATATGTTACATTTTTAAATATAATTTAAATATAATAATTTTTTTATTTAACTACACATTATATAGGCCTACATATAAATATATAAATCATGTTGTCCTACAAATAAAAAGGACAGGCACAGAATTTACTGCATGTTTTCACAGTGGTTTTGATGTCAAATTGGCAAAAATGGCTTTTAAAGATCCGTTCACTATTGGACACCAGACAATTAAGCATCATCTGTGTGATGTTCAGCTCTTGTGGTCCGTCTTAATGATTGTTAATGATGTCCACCACTGATTGACAGCAGGGCTTGTGTGATTAGTGCAGTACGTAACACTGAAGAGAAGCTGAAGGTGAAGAGGCCTTCAACGGCCCTCCACTTTAATGAGAACACACACACACACACACACAGGCTGGCCTCTCATCTGAGGATAAAATTCTGCATAATCCTTTAAATAATAAAGATTTAAATTGTTCCTATATTATTATTGGTATATTCAAGATTTCAATGTAGAATAATAAATATATTAATTATTATATAATTGTGTAAATTAGTAGAAAATAATTTATTTTATAATTTATTATTAAAAAGTAAAATGTTTTTTATTTTATTTTACAGAAATAAAAAATATATATTTATTAGTATAATGTTTAATTAAAAAATATATACATAATATAATTATAATATATATATACATATATATCAAATTATTATATAATAATTATTAAAATAATAAATGGAATATTAATATATTTTATTATATGAAATAAAATGATTTTATTCACTAATTTCATACAATAATTTATATATTTTTTTATTTTATATATTAAAATTATATTAAGGAAAACTTATATTAATTATTTTTATGTACTAAATGGCTGATAATCAGTGTAGCACTATGAAAAAAACATTCTGTTCGGTTTTACTCATAAACACATTATATTACCAAATAAAATGGGTTACGCACTAATAGTATTAATATTGACTTTACACATAAATACTTTAAATTATTAATAAAAAATGTTAAATGTTCTTAAATAAATAAATAATTTAAATAAATAATTAAATGTTCTTTTCTGTTTTTTTACAGGTCCAGCAGAAGCTGCCAAGGATCTGTGAGTAATTTAATTTACGACATATCCAAACATACCATATTCATGAATCTGAGCCACAGAATGAATGTTGTGACCGCTACCGTCCCCCACTGACCCGAGAAAAATTCATAACAGCATACAGCGCTGAATTCATTAGCACAACCGACAACAGCTCAACACAGCATATATGCACCGAAATACACACGCAGACTGAATCCTGGGGGAGAATCAATCGGCCTGTTCCAGCAAACCGTACAGCAGCTTTTGTGGCGCACATGGGCCCCTGAGGGTCCAAACACATGCTAACCAATCAGCAATCATTACCCATCCCCCCCAACACCTGACACCTCGCCGTTTACTGTCAAACGCACCAGACGGCATCCGTCCCATCAGTGGAAAAACGCCCGAGTTTGTTTAGACAGCAGATTTCTGTTATGACATCCGCGTGTGACTTCTGTTTGACGAGGTTTCGCATTTAACATCTATAAAAAGATACAGAGGAACTGATTAAATTTCCACTCTCGAAGCAAGTTGTGGTAAACAGCTTTAGAACGCATTCCGGAAGTTAAAATCCCTTTCCAAATCTCCACTGCGAAATTGGGAATGGCATATTTGATGCAAGTGAAAATGAATACAGCTTGATCAATTGTACTGTTGCTTTAATCGTTCAACCAACAAAACATTGGAAAGATGTGTTTTCACTGGACAAAAACAGTGAATGTGAAAATTAAATATGAACTGAAATGTATTAGTATATTCAATTTTTAATATACTATATAAAATTATTTATTATAAAAAAAGTTAAATGGATTTTTATATTTTACAGAAGAAAAAATACATATATTTATTAATATAATTTGTAATTTTAATAGATAATAATAAATATGCAAATTTTTATATGAATTTTTTTATATATATATAAAAAAACGAGTGGATTCCAGGTTAAAATCCCATTTCAAATCTCAAATGTGAAATTAGAAATGGCATTTTTGATGCAAATGAAAATCAATCTGTGATGGATAGAAATACAGCTTGACCATTTAGTTATAGTTATACTGTTGTTTTAATCGTTTAGCCAACAAAACATCGGACATTATAAGGAAAGATGTGTTTTCACTGGACAAAAACATTGAATGTGAAAATTAAATATGAACTGAAATGTAATAGTATATTTAAGTTTTTAATATATAAAAATAAATAAATT